AGAAATAAGTCAAGAGTTGCGATGGTCTGCGATTTGCACGAAATAGATCGGGCTATTTCTTCGCAGTAATTAAGAGCCCCAAATTAATTTTTATATCCTTGAAAAGAACATCGTTTCCAATTTTCAGAAATGCTCATCTCAAGTGATTCCGAGTTATACCGAGTAGGAAAAATTTTTATTGAAAAACTGCTCCAAAATGAAATTTTTAATCAATCAAATTTTGGCGATTTTCAAATATTCGCCAATAATTCATAGTTATGTCAATAATCCCGTTATTAGATTGAAATCATTTTTTAATACCTCGTATACAAATAGATAATATTCGGAAAGACTTGTTTTCTTTTGCACTTTTGAAGAATAACGTTTTTGTTGCCCTACTCGTCGGCTTCATTTCGGCCACTGTTATGGCGGTTGGGGCTCGATACAGTGTTTGGTGATTTTCTAGAAAATAAAAACAGTTCTGAACAAAAAAATTATACCACGTTTATAGACTTACCCTAAGGTATCTTTGAGCGAAGTATGAAGGTAGGGCTTTTTCTAGGCATGTGCCACATTTTTTTGATTTCACGCGGTCTCCAGAAAAATTCTCTCTTAAGAGCTCTTCAACCTCAAACCCCCTCCCCTCCCCACCCCCACCCCCATTTCTATTCCTATCACTAACAGGTAAAACTTGCTAAGAAAATAAAGGGTCTTATCGAAGTTCAGAACACAATATCTTATTGGCTTAAATTCTTAAAACGCAAGCCAGCAAAGCAGGCTCACTATTGACAGCTCTTACGCAACAGGACTATCTCTTGTTAAACTGTAAAATCAAGGGGATTTTAAAGAAGTTTTGTCATTATAGCGTCATTATCCTCGATGCCTTAATTATAGCATTATACTCAGAATTATAGTGGCATGATTTAGCTGACCTAGCGACCAAACCGTGTTTTATTATGGCTATCAACCGAATTGTTAAAAATCATTTCCTTCAGGTGGAAAACGTGACCACTTGCTGTTTCTCTCTAAAATATTTTCTTTTCAGTTCGGTGTTGACATCAGCATGAAATATTTTGTCCTGTTCCTGGTCGTGATCCACCAAATGAAAAATGCCGAGGCCCTCAAAAAAGGTTATGATGAGACAGAGAACTTAACATCGCGTGCTAACGGAGTCTCTGGCCTGATGCGCGTCGAGGAACAGACTAAACGCTTTATCCGTGTATCGCAGTTGGCTGTCGGTGACGTGATACGCGGCATCACCGGGATAGATAAGAACCCTGCGTGGTGCAAGGTATTGGCCGTATTTCCAGTGGCACATGGTCAGACACAGACTACGTATGACGGGTTCACTGCAGGTCAGATGGTCGTAGAGCGTACAGTCCACCCGTATGGCGCATATGGAACGTTACGTACAGGTTCTGTGTTCACACTAGCGACGGAGTGTGATGCTATGGTAAACTCAGCCGGAAAAACGTTCACGCCCTTAAGTACAGCATTCTGTCCATTCCAGTTGAGTTGGAAACAGTATCTTCAGTTGATCAGTTCGATACGCCGCCTAATCAGCCTCACTGGAAATTTCTGGTTTAACCTGAATGTGTACCACGACAACGAGACAGCACCTGTACCGCACTGGATCGACCGGCTTCCTCAGCTATGCCAGGAGCTCCTGCAGTGCTCGCGACAGGACCTTTCGCAGTGCTTAAAACTTCGCAAGGTTATGGCAGAATTTGCGCAGACGTACCTTAGCAAGGAATACGCTGAGGTCGTGGAAAAAGCTCTTACGAAGATTTACGGCGATACAGAGCAAAATGACGAGGCTGAGAGCACAACAGTGGAACATTTTTCACAGGGAAGTAGGCGCGTGTTTCTGATGATGGTTGTAGGTGCCACTGTGCTGCTTGTAGCACTGATACTAGTTGTAGCTGTGTTCATTGATTTCTACCGCCAAAGAAAGGTCAGAAGGGTAACTCGTTATTCTCTGGTGAAGGTTCAGCTTTAAGATAGGATATAAAAGTGGGCCGAAAACAATTTAATAATACCACATATTCCAGAGACGCTGATTTTGGATAAATTATTCAGACACTAAAAATCTTCTTGAAATAGATACTCTAAACAGTCCACGATTCTCTGAAGATTTATCTCGTTTATTACATTTTGGCCGAATTTAACTTTCAGTATTTAGTATATTTGATCATGAAAATTGAATTAATATTTCGCAGGCAAATTATTAGTTAGCTTAATCTAGTCGTAATGTCAGTTGCACTACTTTTTGATTACTTACAAAAGACGAATTTCAGTTTTGTCACCAAGCAACGGCCGCGAAGAAGTCTGTCTCACAATAGGCTGTAACAGTCAGTTGAGTCTGGCCGAAATAATGAGAGGATCTGGGAACAATCGTGCACAAGATGATTTTACTGAGCTGAGATTCCTCATTTAACCACAAAACTATGCCTTACTTTTCAACTTTCGTGGTATCTATAATAGTGATACTGATAATTTCAAAATGTCTGTAAGCGTTAGGCTTTTTTGGTGTAAATTTCTACTAAGAAGCTATTGCATAAAGTTTCATTATGTTCAGCCCGTTTGATCAAAATGAAGCCTACAATGACAAAATAAAACTTACAGTTTTCGAAAGCTAACATCGTTTAGTTTTGTAGTTAATAATGTTTAACAGTTTGACATTTCGCGGTTTTGAGTCATTTGTTTGCACACAGCTCGTTTCACAACAATTAATTGTGCAAAAATCGTATATGGACAAATAAATCACGGTCTTGACCGAAAATCAAAAGTCAGTTAAGAGACAGAAGAATGATTATAATCGTCCAAACATATACATAAGTTTCCTCCGTCATACTTTAGCTCTTTAGGTCATTCAGAATTCTACAAAATAAATAAACAAGTTACACAGACACTGTTACCTCCACTCCCAACATATATTGCGCGACAAAGATTGCCTTCATTTTAAATTCTGAACAAGTTCTTGGCTGGATAGTTTTCCTATACTTTTCCAAAACATCCAAGAACGAACAGGTAGTCCGCAAACACTTCATCTTCCACCACCAACAATACTCTATTTTTCCAAACATTTAATCAGATAACAAAACATGTTTTTGCGCCAGAAAGTTATGCCCAATTGCGCCTTAAAAAAAAACAAGCCAACTGGTCGTTGTTCTCCAAGAAATTGTTCAATATTGCGAAGACCCTGCGGTTTTAGTTAAGTACTACGCCAGTCTTTGTCAGTCTTAAATATTATTCTTCGAAACGCATGCGCAACTTTGGTCTGGAAAAGGGAAATTTCTGTTTGAGTGAGCCCTAACATACGCAAAAAGCTCAAACATGCCGTTCTTCGTTCCAATATCATTTAGATTAGCATGAAAACTTTGAGGTTAATACGTCGTTGTCGGTCTATATGAGACTTGGCTGCGAGAGGTACGTGCCCCTGTGGTTTTTAGGCGGGAAATGTCTGCTGGGATGCTAACCGGAGAAACAGGAAAAAACAAACATGACTTTGTTTGTTCCAAAATGATGAAGATAACCGTAAAGACTTTGCGGTTTCAGCCAAGCGATCAGTCGGCTCGTTGAAATTCGGTCAAGAAACGTAAGAGCAACTTGGGTCTTGAAACTGGAAACTTGCACTCATAAATACATTCTCTTAAACTTTTTTTTTTCTTTTACAATTAGTTTCGTTTGTTTTGCTTTCCTCTTTGCCACGCGCCCTGTGCGATCGATGCGACTGGAGGTATTTTCGATAGCTTGAATTCAGAAACTGAAAAATAAATAACGAATCTCTTATTCACTACGTCTAACACATGGGAGAGCGGAATTTTTTCGGGTTGGTCAAAACACAAGCAACTCGCTAAATAATATGCACTTGGCAAAAATATAACAGCAAATTTTCAAGGAAAAGCCAAGCTGCCAGAGAGAAGTGAATGGTAAATTTCTAAAGAAAATATGGTGCTGCGACGGTGGGAGAGTATAACAGGGTAATTAGTATTATCAACTGAGTTGATAACGTAAATTGAGTTTCAAAGCTGACGCTTTTTAGTGTTAGCCCTTCGTCAGAGCGAATGAGTTTTGGTTGACGATGGGTTAACGCTCGAAATGTCAGCTTTGAAACTCTTCCCAGTGGCCAATTTACTTTATCAACTCAAGTTATCCCGTCAGAGAGAAGAATGATAAAAATGCTCTCGGGAGTTCAAAGTTTTATGTTTCAGAATTGTCTCGAAATAACCTCGGGTGATTACTCTATGGAAATGAAGATTTTCTTCGAATCAAAACCTTGCTCGTCCCCAGTTTGTGTTTTACTTTATCGTAAACAAAGACCATTTGTCTGGAAAAACGTACTTCTAAATTAGAACCCTCGCATCGAAAGATCATTTAGGCCAAACCTGTTAGCCCTATTTTTAAAAGTTCAGCCCTTTACGTCACGACTGTAAACATGCATAACTATGTTGGGGCTGGGTGAGGACTATGTGGCATCTATAGAACGGAATGTGTCATGTGTCATATCTAATCTCGTACAGAAAGCTCTTTCTTGCTATTCTAACCCTTTCCCTTGATGATGACGACGGACTGCGAGTCAAAGAAATTCAAAGCTTAGTTGGTCACACTTTAAGAAAGACAAAAGAGCACGTGCAAGTAATACCTTAGTAAAATTTGTTTTTTCTTGCCATTCTACCAGCAACTGTAAGTGGAGCGATAACCTTGAATAATGATGCTTTAAATCAAAACTTAGATAGCTAGATTTAATTTACATTTTCCTTGTTATCTCATTAACGTAAGACTTAATCACAAAACTCGCGTATCGCAATAAATTTCCCAATGGCGATTTAGTTCAAAGCTGGGTACAATTTATGTAATGTCTCATCAACGTGTTAGTATTGCACTTAAAATCAGTGTTTAATCACCAAACCTAAAAAAAATATTTGCTTATTTATCGCCCAGCTAAAGGCGCCAAAAAAAAATACTGATTAAAATGGAGTTCATGACTTTGTGTAACTGTTGTGACGATTCCTCGGCACTCATGCGGGGGTATGGCTGGTAATCTTGGGTTCTGGCTTGGTTACTGCCATCTCCTTCATCTTTCGTCCGCGGTACATCAAGATCGCGGCCATGATGATCGCGAGTGCCAGCACGGCGCCGCCCACGGCAGTAAACAGCACCAAGTAATTCTTCTTTTTTTCTGGACGGGCCACTTCTGTAATGGTTCCACTTTGCTCCTTGTTTACATCACCACCCATGTTGGGGAAAACGCGTTTAACGATCTCCAAGTATTCTTTGTTAAGATACTTGTGCACGAACCGCTCCATGATGGTCTCAAACTCTTGGCACTGGTCCTCACGAGCACATCGCAGAAAACCGCGGCATATTGCAGGTAGCTGCCTTCCCCAATACGGCACCATGGCGCTGTCATTGTTGTGGTAGGCGCTCAAGTCAAACCAGAAGTATCCAGTTCGATTGGCGACTCGTCGAATGGCGGCAATCAGAGTAAGGTACTCGCCCCAGCTCAGCTCAAAAGGACAGAGCCCGTTGTTGATAGGAGTGAAGGCCTGGCCTGCTGAATTCACAGATGCATCACAGTCGGTGGCAAGCGTGTACACGGGACCTATGCGTACTGTTCCATTCTCGCGCACACCGTACTGGTGAACTGTTCCATCCACGACCATGTGAGTATCTGTGAAGCCGTCGTAAGTGGTGCGGGTCCCATTACGTGGTAAAGGGTAGAGAGCCTTAACTTCGCACCAAGCAGAGGCTTGTTCTGCTCCCTTGATACCACGGATGACATCACCTACAATGAGTTTGGAGACACTGAGGTGACCTTTGGTTTGTTCTTCCACTTGCATCTCAGCAGATACACAATCAAGATAAGGAGGGTCTCTCTCTGGGGCGGGCAACATTCCGTTGGCATACCCACTGAGATGTAAAAGAACCATCAGGGCGCTGAACAACAACCAAAGATTTTGCATCCTGAACACAACTCAGCTTTAGGCGTACTTGAGTTCTGGTGATATTAAGAGTACAATTTAATTTTTTACAACTTTATAAATATTTCAAACTTAGGCTGAAGCGTGGCTCTATAGCGAGAAAACCAAGGCCTTTTGGATTACCAGTGAGATAACATACCATGCCCACCATGTAAGATTATTTCTGAAAGAAGCCATCACCCTCGCTTTGTTCAATACTGTTATTGTCTGTGTTGTAGCTACAACGATTGAGGAAGAGTCAGATAAGAGAAGCGGGCGGCGCACCCTTACAAAAAATTCCAAAGCGTAAACCCCCTTCTTCCTCATCGACGAGACACTTATGCCGAGTGTTTTACCAACCATTTTTAATTCCCAAAAGTGGTTATCTGGCCAAAGTGAATCGGCTCAATTTCAACACAAAAAACAAAACAAAACAAATCAAAACAAAATATCTTGAGGATTTTTTTCGAGATACTTGGGAATATTGTTTCACTATTTAACAAAAGTTTGAGGAATTTCCGCCGAAATGCTTTCATAATCGAACGTGTTATCTATGGAAAGGCTTAAAAGCCCTCTTTTATATAATTAATGGAATAATTTCATATTTGTCAAATATTTGAGATCATATCAAAGACATTCAGCGGACATTGTGCTATTTAAGAAAGCAAGTTATCCTTTCTTTGATTTCATTGGTGAGAATTAAAGCCACAAGATCTATTTTTCTCTCTCTTAAAATTTATTGCCTTAATAGTTGATCGAGTTTTAGAGAACTTTTAATGTCCGCCTCGCACACTTGGTGGGTTAACATCAGCACATTCCAAGAAATAAATTGTACTAGTATTGGGAAGAAGTATTGGTAAGTTATTTTGGTAGTCAAAGTATTCTTGAGGTGGACAGAAGATAAAAAAGGATAGATTTTCTAAATTCTATATATTGCAAACTGTCAAAAACAATTATGCCGAATTACTTTGAATCTAACGATTCGAGCTGTTATGTGATTTACATTATATTTGCGTCCGAGCTCAAAATCATTATATCCAGATTATAAAATCTGGAAGTGAATTTTTTTTTTTATAGCAATATTAGTAAAGTTTCGAGAAAGGCTTTCAAATGGAATATTTACTTCTCCTGTGACAATATTAGAAATTGGAAATCTTTAATCAACACGCTTTCAACAAATGGTTTAAGTCACAATTAAAACAAATTTGATAACAAAATATAAAATAATGTTTGGTAGTATTTTGTTCCCTAACCATAAATCAAGCTCTCGGTCTGTTTGCTTCCTCATCAGGCAATAATGGAGGTAACTTTGATTATAGGGCTCTATATTGCATCACCGATTCAGATTGAAAACTATTCGCTTGGATTTTCAGGAGTTTCTTGCACGTAGTAGATGTTTTGAAAGTATCGTCAAACACGAGTAAATGAATGTTTAAAAGTAAAATGTGCTTCTAATCAAATAAATGTAGCTTCTCAATGACTGAATCGAGTTGGCCGACAATCAATCAAAAGCATGATCTTCGTATCTTAGACATATCCCTTTCCGAGTTAGAAATTAGGTTTTTACGAAACCATTTTGTTAGCGATTAGTTGATACGACAATAGAGCCCTCACTTCATCTGAAAGCACCTGAAATTAAACATGCGAACACTAGACATGACCACACGTTCAGAAGGTTATAGCGAGACCAGTTTGATAGTGATTCGTCGTTACAAAATCCGGATTCTTTTGAAATTTCAGATGCTAAAACAACGCAGTTTCTGTCCACAAGCGAACCCACGAAACTGCTTCTATCTTTCCAAGAGTCTACTTCAGCTCAGTCGTATAGCATTCGACCTGCGCAAAATAATAGTATTCGACCTACGTAAAATAATACGGATTAAGATTCGACTCAGAAATGGATCTCAGCCTTTTTTTTTTTTCCCCAGTGCATGTGACACCTGAATTGAATCTTTCCTTAACCTTGAAAATTAAACTTACCTTGTAAGGGAACAACGCCTCACACTTTTTAACCAGGCAGGAAATGAATGACGACTAATAAACAAGGAAGGGGTTTTTATAAGCTCAATTCTAAAGCCCAGGTCCTACTCATGCGTGGAAGATGATAGCCTCCTGGGCACGAGATATCCATTGTAATGCCCAATCAAACAGTTCCTTGACTGTCGATCCAAGAACAGTAATTCCACCTCTTGCTAATCTCTTTCTGGATTTCAGTGCTCGTGGTTTGTCGCCATTGCGATTTTTTGATGTTGTTTAAACAAAAGACGCTTCGAAAATTCGCCTGAATTCAGCTGGTGTATCACCCCTACCGAGATATGGGTAATTTGCGCTGAAAACATCCGAAAAGTAATCAAATTCGCCTAAATCATCTTGGTGCAGTTTCGTATTTTAAACGAGGAATGTTCATTTAGGCAATGAGATTGTTCTAAGTTTTGTGATCTCCAACTCATCTTGAATACATGTAACTGATAAATCGCTGCATTGTGAACTAGAAACAAGTACGAAAACAAGACTTTCTAAAACGTTGTACACATGGCTAGTTTCATTCTCTGTTTGGCTGACAATTTATTGAAACAGTTTTTTTGTTTTATTGAAAATTTATTGAAATAGCAAACCGTCATCTCGCCACCCACAGTTCTTTGACACATCAGCAGAGAAGTTTACTACGCATTTCCTCTCGTACTTGATGACTGTCACCAAACAATATTGTGGGATGTGCTTTTTGTGCATTTATAATACGACCTTAAAATTCCTTGCAATACATAGTATTTTTTGAACAAGTATTTACACTTTTACATATAGGCCTTGAATAACACACATAGGCCTTGTGGTTGCACAGCACGTTGTATAAATACACATTTCACTTTAAATATCTTACAATTTAGAGTGCAAATTTATTTTCAGGCACAAGGTGTCCCTTCTTGATGCATTTCCAAATCCAGGATGGTGAAACTAGTTTGACTGGTCGATCCATCGTATGACCACCCTGAAGAATAAACCATAAAAAGAAACAAAAGTAAGTCCAACAGCGTCCTATTTTCAATTCCATCTAAAATTTTCACCATCTGTTTTCCAATTCTATACGCTAATTGCTCTAGTCTAACTGTTTTCTGATGACTACAACTGGAGTTATAAAAAACATTTCTTCATGCTGCTGAACATCTCGGTTGATAGTGTCTGTGCCATTTAAGATGTGAGTACCAATGCTGAGAATGAAATTCACATTGGTTTGTTTTTGAGACAAAAACATTGTGCGACAAATACTGGATGAGGCATGGAAATAAGCCGAGATTATGACAAGAATAAACGTCCGTTTCACCTTGGGGGAGAGGGTACGGCTACACGTAGGCTATTTTTACGTGAGGTGTAAAGGAAGAAATTTGAATATTATCGTGAAGTGTTCAGTGTGAAATTTCAATTTTAACGTAAAGGGATACAGTGACATACGAGTATTTGCATGTATTGAATAGTGTGAATTTTGGAAAGCACACTCACCTTAGTGTTGCTCACAATATGGCTTGCAGTCGTCTTTTCGAACTCACCGACTACATCTCCGTCGTAACTACAATATATCACTTAATTAAGGGATTCAACCATATACAAAAAAATCAAGAAAACATCTAAAAGCGTAATCAGGAAATGAGTTAACTTAGCTCATAGGTAATGCTATTAGCTTTAGAACGCCATGGAAGAAACCGAATGTCCTAGCTTGACTTGGCTTTGTTTATTTGATTGTTTGAACGTATAATTGAAGATTGTGGTTGCTTGACATTGTCACACTTGGAAGGCATTAAAGGATACGCAATGATGTATCTTCTGAGTTTCGCAGAATCTTCAAGATCGTTTGCGAGAAATATGGTCAGTCCTTGAAAGATGTCTTTCAGAGTCTAGAAACATAAAACAACTACAAATCAGGAAAAAATTACGACCAAAAACTGCAAAATGAAAGAAAAAAGAGAACCAGTGTCAGAAGAACTATTTCTTGTGTGGCGATGAAGGGGATAAGTCCGACAATAAATGAAGCATGAAATAAGGCCACTCAACTTTACTAAACAACACAATCGTCTCTTTCCGTCCGACTTCTGACGATCGCTCTGGCAAAACATTAGGAGCAAAAAAAGCGAAAAATTGTTCAAGGTACCTTATTCTTGCTTGGACTTGATTCATCGCCATTGTCATTCTGCACAACAGAAAAGGGTTAACAGCACATGAGAGAAATATCAGCGATAAAAAAAGTTCCCTTTGACCTGCCTTGGATCTCTCAGCAAAGAACTTCTCTCCCTGGTTTTTTCTTGAATACTTACTCAGTGACCTTGAGGAGGTGGAAGATATCATCAGGTTTTCACACTCATCCTCAAAAACGAAGGTGTGGTTCAACGACGAATTTCTACGCTAAAATTTTTTGTTTACAAACCTGCGGATGGCTGAATTTCTGCAAATGATCTTCACTCTTCTGATAACATTTCGATCCGTACTTGCAGGCTGACTTGGCCTAAGGAGGATACGAAAAAGGTCCTTATTAGGAATCGCAACCCAAACCATCAAATTCAAAAGTGAAGAATTTGCAAATTCCACCACAAAATTGCTACGAACATCATCAATTTTTCATTCTCTTACATGACCTGAAGTCTCTACGGTGATGAAAAAGTTATAATAAGGTCTCTAAATGGCTAAGAGTTGTGCGCAAAAATTTCATAACGGAAACACAAACAAACAGAAATGTTGCAAGCCCTTCTTCAAAGTTAAGTCCTAAGAGTGAGATTTTCTAAACCGCGTCTTAACGATAGACACATGCGCACACTAACCCGTTTACTAGGAGAACTATTTTCTTGATAGTCAAGTGTTTTTCTCTTCCTTGTTATTTTTTCAGTCTCGTTTGATTCCTTGGAAGGGCT